ATACAAATTTTACAGGCTGATTGATGAATAAAGCCAGTGTGTAAATACGAAGGATATTCACACACTGGCTTTATTCTTAAATATCGATTGTTTTTGGTATATTATAACAAATTTATTATTTCTTTTTGTAAACCAGGGGGCCTACCACAACCTCTTAAAACAATATTACTTTAAACTTACATTGACTTTTCGTACCATGACACGCTTAAAGTAAGCTTATTATAATGTTAAAACTATGATGTTTTATTGGCAACTTTATTCATTCACTCAGTTCATACTATGACGTGACTTTGACATTAAAGTAATATTGCTCTTATGTCAAATTTAGCAATCTAAAAATAGATACACAAATGCAATGGAAACAATATTATTTTCAGTTTTATTGTCTTAATATTGATTTGTAATGATCAAAGTTAAATTGAACTTATTTATTTACATATACCTCTTCAAATAAATGGTTCTTAAAAAAAAATAGTACATAGGAAATAATTTCTCTTTAAATAAAAATATGCAATATTTATTTCGTAAAATTATAACAGAGACATCTATACGCTCCTTGACGACACTAACAGTTGACACTAGACTATAATTCCGAATTTACAATGTGGCATTCAAGACTCAGATTGTTTTATTTATTTTTCATCATGAAAATGCAGAAAAATAATTTAAAACAACGTAATTTTAATAAAACTATTACATACTTTTCTTTATTAACAGTTAAAATTCTCTGAATGTAAATAACATTAAGTACGTAAACATTATACTACAATAAGACAATTCGGGACATCAAAAAAGAAAGAGATGGCATTATATAGTTCATATAGCATTATTTCTTTCCTATTTTCAGTAAGGAATAGAGAATATTGGGAAATCATTCGTTCTTTCAATCACTTTAGCAATAATACATTACTTGATTCAAATTCTAAGTCAAAGTCAAAATAAAAATTTTTACACTTGAAAACGTCATCTTTTAAGCTACTTTTTAAACTACTGCTCAATCACTACTCTGACCTCCCTGAGAAGAACGAGCAAGAAACTCTAGGGATTGACAGGTTTGTCATAGTACCAATACGAGTAATATTAGGATAGGCTTACATTAAGCTTACATTGAAATAATATTGTTTTTGGAAAGGTTATGGAAGGCCCCCAGTCGAGAGATTAGTATGCACGCAACGTAAAAATTTGAAATGTCACTATGTGAAATGGACTTTAGTATTCGTAGATGCTGTCGATTAATCCTAGAATATTAGAAAAGCAAAATTAAAATACCGCTAAATCAATAGCGCAGTATTATACTGCATACAGTAGTAGTCTAGTAGTCACGTTTGCTCTTATCAAACGAAAATACAGAAACTTGCCGATAACTTTTTATACTGACAATCATTGCGATGGAAAAATGTCCAACATACAAAGTTATTGCTACCTTTTGGCTGATCGTCGGTGCGTACTTTCTCCCATTCTTCCTGTCTGCGACGTCTTTGTTCCAGTATTTCTGTTTCTGAAATAAATCCCGAACTCATTTTCGAGGTTTTTAATATCTTTATCCAATGCAATTAAACGAATGAAAAAGCGATCTCCTTCCGTCTTTCGTTTGCGTTTTGACAAATACAACAGTGATTTTATCTATTGTTTTTGACAACTGCGTTTTGTTGCATATCAAAATTTGATTTATTCCTTGCTATTTTAATTTATTACAAACTATGCTAGTTTTAGTTTATCTCTTATAAGTAGCATAAGCGCCATGCAAACGGGTATTTTGTATCGGCTAAAGCTAATATTCTATATGTTTACAAACAATTGCGGTTGCCGCAACCGGCGCGACTGTGTCCGGTCGCCGCCGCGCCGGCGCCGTGCAGGCAACTAGAATTGATTGAAAATAGAACATTCGCTTCTGGCTGTCGAACGTAGTTCACTAAGTAGTCTGTGGGCTGTCGGTTGTTTGTATTCGACACACGACACACGTTTCCGTGGCGTCATAATCTTCTAATATCTGTAATATTAAAAAAAGTTTTGGGACATTAGTATTAGGTAATAAACGTGTGTCCTGTGTTGGTCAATCGGCAGCTAGTAGGACTGTGGCCGGTTGCCCCAACCGGCGAATGTGTCGATCTCATATTAATTGTATGAAAATAGATTTCCTGACACAAGACCTTACCTTGCAAGACCTTGAAAAGTCTTGTGTCAGGTACATATTCTATTTCCTTTATTTTTTTCCATCATAAGCATAAGACCCACATTTAATTCCGCAGCGGCGCCTTATTATGCTAAAATCTCTAATAATAGATAAGATAATTGCTTTATTACCATTATAACCAGAAATAGAGACGAAATGTTATTTAATTTGTTTGAATACTATTCTGCCATATAATTACGGTGACAACTGCGCTCCTTAGAATTCGAAACAATTGACATCGATCAGCTTAATGCTTTAAATGGAGATAGCTTTGCTCTATTGGATGAAAATTTAAAAATCACATAATTTAAAATTTGATATCCGATGTAATGTGATTCCGTTTGTTTTTTATTTAGATGTTTTGCTATTTTTCCCACACCACCGAATGGAACAGCCCTCCATAGTTAGAAATTTTATTACAATAAATACAAAATATTTTTGGAATATACGGAGATGTACACACATGTCAGTAAAGTTGTTAGCGCTATACTATATCAGTCTTTCTAATGTGTGGTTTCATCGCAAACGAGAGTTGATACTTATAAGCGATATTATCGTATGTACGTAGGTACAGGGTCAAGAGCACGTCAAGCTTTACACTTAAAGACTTAAATCCGATTCTATCCCCTTACGAGTAAGAACGGTCCAAAGTACAAAGTGTCAAGCTTGATGTGCTCTTGACGTACGTACATATCATTTGACTGATGAGTTGCCAGGGATAAATGGCCCTTATTTCGTCTTTATATATACTCGATGTTTAATACCAATAAATGAAATTTTACATGGTTTTCGGACATTAAAATTTGCTATATTTTAATACCTTAACTGACTTTAAAATAGAATGAACACTATATTAATCTGGAAAATAGCATCAATGTGAATAAATGTTGTTTGATGTAATATATTATTATTATCTAAAATGATCTTTAAAAAATTGCATTTGTTTCTAAATTGTCAAAAAACAGAAACGAAATTTATGCAAGAATAATGAAACGCACTTGACATTATAGCCTGTGTTAGTAAATACTGTTATAGTTAGTTGACCATGGCTATGCGAAAGTTATTCTTTGCCATACGAGTACGAGGTTAATAGATAACCCAGAGTTTTTAAATTCAATTTAAAATAAGTGAAATTATAATTTGACTAAGCATCTCAATTATTGTTAGTCTGATTGAAAATTCATTCAGTGTAATTAATTTTTAATAATCAATTGAAGCTACCTTCATAAATACAAATCCATAAAATTTTGAAAAATATCTTGCCGGTGCTGCTCTATAAATTTTAACATTTCATTAAAAGTTTAATGAACTTTCTTATTATCTCTAAGCTGCTTTAGGTCGTATAATAACTTCTCGACATGTCCGAATCAGAAAATAAGGAATTGCCTCAAGAAGAAGAGTTAAAAGATTACGTTGAAAACGGGAAAAACAAACTCATTGTAAAGTGCAAATTTTGTGGTTCGAAAATACTTGATAAGAAAGTGGCTAAACATATCAAGCAGGAGGTAATTTCGAAATAATTGACTTTGTTCTTTATTGATTAATTTTTTCAAAAAGATAACCTTAGTTTTTTCACCATAATTTAGTGTTTGTTGTTCAATATTCTGTTTTGTTTTTTAATTTCAGAAAGAGCTACCGCTCATGCAACAGGATGTCAATCGAAATGCAGGAGAAATTGAAAATGAACTCATAAAGGAATTCTACCATGTAGAAAACATGTACACATTTGAAAATATCGGTTTCACTCATACCGTTGCAAACACAAAATACTTGAGCTGTGCTGAGTGTGATGCGGGACCAGTGGGATATCATGATATTGACACTAAACACAGTTATGTTGCTATATCTAGAATTGTACATTCATAATGATTTATGCATAGATTTCTAGTGGTGAAGGCGCCTTTGCTTGGTGTCATGATTGTATAAGTTAAAAAGTTAATGAAAGATAGAGTTGATCTTGGAAAGCCTACTATTACTTGGACTCTCCGATGATGTCACAATTATGTACTAGAGTCATCGTTTTGGGGTTCAATGTAATTTTGTTGTCTTAACGTTCTTTTTGTAATCATTCCATAATAAACCATTTAAGTGACCTAATGTCTAATTTTTAATCATCACTTAGCATTACTGATGATATTATTATGTATATTGTGTACATTATATTGCACTATTTTGAGCTTATATACAATACATAATGTAGGTACAATTTTGTTGTGTGTAATGTAAAAGCTTATTTCGGATTTTTGTATGAGATTTTAACATTAATAAATGTTTTATTTACAAAAATATGTGGTGTTGTTTTGGAAATTTGGTAATAAAAAAATAAATTCGAGCTACATATATCATAATTTTTTATAATTTATTATTACTTTTTATCTGGCTCATACACATACAGTATAATAATTTCGGAGTCATTGTCATCGGTTTCCGTGGTGTAGCGGTTATCACATCTGCCTAACACGCAGAAGGCCCCCGGTTCGATCCCGGGCGGAAACATGTCTTTTGTCGATTTTTTTCTTTTTTTTATATTCAAGTAAGTTGAATTTTTTCTGTTTTATATTATTGCATTGGAAAAAAAATGCAGTGACCCAGGTAACTGCATAACGTAATTATTATGAAAATTTCACTTCGCCTACAAGATCAAGAATGTGATCATATTATGATTAGAGCATTGCTCTAAATTTATTTACAGGCGTTTGTAATTGTCAATGAAGTTTTTAATCTCAGTTCCTATATAATGGTGAAACAGGCCATAATCCACAAGGGTAGCTCAGTACGGGTAGGTTGGGCATTTTCGTAGCAGAGTATTGTAAATCTTTAGGAAAGATAAAGATGACGTAAAAGCAAAGAAGTCTTCAGCAGTAGAACTTAGGATACTTAGACCCACTGTGTGCGGCCCTGAGAAACTATAGAAATGCATTTGGTAAGCTAAAACGTGACAACTATCAATCTATGGAGTGCCACAACTTACTGCCGACTAATCCGGGCCATGAGAAACACGTAGTTGTACACGTTGGTTCTACAGGACTACTAATTAATTTAGTTAATAAAGATTACTTGTGGTGTGTACGTGTGATTCAAGTGTCTATAGCCATTATTCACCAGATGAGTGTTTTTGGACCTTGTCATATGGCAACTAAGTGTACAGGTACTTCCGTACACTGCAAATGGGGATTTTATAAATGTGTATTATAACTGCACATTTTACAAATATCCTTTATACACCAATTCGGAGAAGGAATGGCGTCAAAGCCAATGTTATTGACAATTAGTTACTGTTACAGTTGGGTAAACATTTCACGCTTTATCGATCTATCTAATCAAAGTTTTGTATTCCAATAAAACTAGCTTTTCTACTAAATGTGTTGCTTTAAAAATAAATAAAAAATGAACCAAGTCGTTTATAATTTTTT